CTTGGCAGGGCAGGATTTGGGATGCCCTGGAGCAGGGCTGGCTCCTGCTTGGCAGGGCAGGATTTGGGATGCCCTGGAGTAGGGCTGGCTCTGCTGGGCAGGGCAGGATTTGGGATCCCTGACCGGGTGTGTGTTCAGTTCACAAAGGACACAGCGCAAGCTCCTGCTGAGGTCACTGCAGGCTCACACGGCTTTCCCAACACACCTGGACRTGTCCTGACTCAGGGCTGAAGGACAGAACAGAACCAAAACATCCTGTTCCTGGTGAAAAATCCAAGCCATRAGTTTCATGAGTTCCTACAGAGGAATTACCAGAGCCTGAACAACCTCCAAAAGCTGCAAATGCAAAGCTCTACATTCCAAAGGGCAGTTTTTTCACCTCTTTCAGGATCCTGGCAGGGAACTTCAGCAGGARTTTTGTACACTCTACTGACTCTAAATGTGTCCAACAGAACCAGGACAGCAACTTAGAAATTTGTTATTAGTAATTTCATCCCAGAACACACAAATGCTTGTGCATCCCACTGAAAGGCTAAAGGAAGGAATTCTGATACCAATGGGAAAAGTGCCAGGAGAAGCCCACTTGGACTCAGGTCACRGAGGAAGCAAAGGTCTGCAGCAAGGAAAAGGTTCCTGCATTTGATCCTGGTTTGGTTTTTTTCTTTTAATAAAGTGAATATAAACCTCTAATGCCACCTGTCCATTGTATTTTTATAATTTAATGACAACTTTCCTCAGCCCAYGATTTAGTGAGTGGGGTAAAACTGGTGCTGGGTTTGGAATTTACTGGAAACCACACAAGTAACAGGAATGTTCACAAAAGCAGGGAAGCAAGTGGCACAATTGTTTGCATTTTAAAAACCATCCAAGGCTGAGTCTCCCAAAACTCCTGAGCTCTGGAGCTTTGCAGACACCAGTTGAAGGGGATGGAATACAAGAACCCCAGGTTTTTGAGCATTTGGTTACTGCTGTCAGAATTACCTCATTATGTACAAAATAATTTCTCTTTCACTCACTAATCTCAAACTGAGGGAGCCTGCAGGACAGTTTAACGCTGTCTTCCTTGTATTTTGAGCATTAAACTACATGAAATTCCTCTTCCATTCTGCCGGCACATGGAGACAYTAAAGAGACACATTCTTGTGTCAACACTTGCTTTAAGGAGAAGGCAAAGCCTGATTCCTTCAGAGGGTTTCAGCAGTTTTAATTARCTTTATTCCTGTTCTTCAGGCTGATTCTGTGGAGCAACAATTTAGGAAGAAAGACACCAAAGCCTTGAAGGCGGGAGGTGGCAGTTCAGGTACAGCACAGGGCTGGACTAAAGGTTGCTTAGAACTCCAAGAAGTTCAAGTCCTGGGAACAAGCATCTCTTTGGAAAAACTTGTGCTGTCAGGCAGCAGAATTTCCCATTAAAGCACAGAATCTCCTGAGTGGGAAGGGACCCACAAGGACCATCCAAGTCCAGCTCCTGGCCCTGCACAGACACTCCACAATCCCATCCTGTGCATTCCTRGGAGTGCTGTCCAAACGCTCCTGGAGCTCTGATCAAGATCTGATCCCTGTGGCACCCRGTGGAGATCCTGAGGAAGGGCATTTGGGCTGGGTGCTGAACAGGAAGATGCTCTGGTCCTTTCAGCAGCAGCCACATTCCTTCCCACCCACAGGAGGAGGAATCCCTCACTAAAGAATCCCAGCAGAAGCCTCACAAGCCCTGTGTTCCCAAGCACCTGCAGCTGCTGCTCTCAGCTTTTGCACTGGAGGAATGGCTGGAAAAAACAGCAGTTAGGGGACTGGGGAGAACGAGTCCAATAGAACCCATTTATTAGGGGATCATGGAATCCCAGAATGGTCTGGGCTGGGAGGAAGGACCTTAGGGATCATCCCATCCCACCCCTGCCATGGCAGTGACACTTCCCACTGTCCCAGGCTGCTCCCAGCCCCAATGTCCAGCCTGGCCTTGGGCACTCAAAGGGATCCAGGGGCAGCCACAGCTTCTCTGGGCACCCTGTGCCAGGGCCTGCCCACCCTCCCAGGGAACAATTCCTGCCCAATATCCAGTCTCATTAATGAGGACAGAGCTGTTCTGCTTTGCCAGGTGCCCCTGGCTCCCAAGGAAAGCTCCTCATTCGCAGCAGGAACACCAGGTTTGCCTGAGTGGCCAGGGGAAGCTGCAAGGGGCAGCCACAAGACTCAGCTTTACTTCCACCCTGAGAGGAGCTTTGCTCTGCTGTGCCTGGGAAGAATGGAAGGAAGGCTTGCACTTTCCAGAACTTTCTGCACCCCAGAGATCAGCACAAGTGACTGACCCAGCAGCTTCCCAGGGCCTCCCTGTGAGCACARCCCCGGGTTTGGGGAGCAAGTTCAGGCTCCAGAATTAAACTGATAAATCCAGAASCAAGTGGTGAGTCTGGGAAAGGGGTAGTCAATGACCTCAACAGAATTTGCTTAGAAAAACAAGAAATGTATGACCACTTGCTCTGCCATTTCTTCAGCAGCACAGTGTGTTTGGAAGGAAAAAGGGAGTAAAAATAGAAGCAACCTTCAGAAAAGATGAGTCACGTTTGTGAACTGATTACACTGATGGCGACAAAGTGAAAAGAAGCCACTTTCCAAAAGGGAAAGGTGATAGTGTTTCTAAATGTTTTATATCTAACATCACATCATTCCTTTATAGACCCTGCTCAGGCCCTSCACATCAACACCATGAATCAGTCCATGAATTAAAAACATAAACCTTATTCCTACTTGGCCTCCCCACCCCAGTGCTCCGCATGAATCACTGCAGTTCCTAATTCCCAAATTGAGATTCCAGGCAGAGTTTGGTTTGAGTGCATATTACCTCTCCAGAGTCATTGGGAAAGGACAAAAAAGGTGAAATCCACGAAATGCAAAGTGAAGACAGAGCTCAGCAAACAAATCCCCAAGTTCCTTCCTGTTCCTGCCCTCCTGACACAGCTCTCCCATTCCACGTCCTGGGTGTTGTGATGACCTCTGTCACACCCAGTGTCTGTGCTCGTTCTAATTCCTTATTTCACGGGACCCAAATTCAGTGGCTGACATGGTCTCCATCTCTACTGGATGGTTCACAGCTCCTCTCACAGCAAATTCCACAAGGGAAATGCCTTCAGGAACAGCCTCAGCCAGAAATGAGCATTAATTCAGACACAACATCCCCCAAGGAACTCTGCTGCCCTGCTTGCAGAGAAAAATCACAGAAACGCAGAATATCCCAAGCTGGAGTAACCCACAAGGATCAACGTCCAACTCCTGGCCCTAATGAAAAACACCAGGATTTTTTAACATCAAGATGCAATTTTTAGGAAAAAAAGGGAGCACAAGCCTGACTCCTCAGTGCTACACTTAATAACTGATAACTGTTCCACAATTTCAGGTGTCCAAACAACACACAGACAGTACTTTGCATTTCATGGGTGGTTTGCATTTCTGTCCCAGAGAAAGATAACATGGATTCAGAACCACATCCCTGCTTCTTCCTGTGAAATCCTCCTGTGGCCACAGCATTCCCGAACCCCCAGGGCGCTCCAGGGCAGCTCTGGGCTGTCACGGAGGSGGAACCTGGCAGAGCAGGAGTGCAGCTAAGGAATGCCAAAGCAGAAAGAAGATTCGCCTTCCTCAGCCACAACCCCTCCTGCTCCCAGCAGGAGCCTCCTCTGTGCCCAACCCCAGAGCCTGCACTGCTAACACAGCACATTCCCAGCTCTGGGAAGGACAGGAGAGCTGCTGCTGCCCCACTGACTCCCAGATCCAACCAAATGTTCCAACATTGCTCTGCTCCTCGCAGCAGTTGTGTCCACAAGCACWGTCCACGCTCTTCTCCCATTTTCTATTAAGTATATTTTGTTGGGTTTGGGTTTTTTGGCTGTTGTTTAGGTTTGTTTAGTTGGGTTTTTTTAAGCAGATCCCACAGTGAAGTTAAAGGATTGRGAAAACACACCTGGCACTCCAGTCACTGACAACACAGGAGATCCCAGCAAGGAGGTTTGGGAAAGAGCTGCTCAGAGCTGCTCCCTCCTTCCCATGGCCTTGGGAACCCACTCAGGTGTTGCAGACAGGGAGAACCAACCCCAGCTCTGCTCATCTCCTTCCCAAACCTCCCAGTGGAAGAGCTCCTTCCTCACCAACACATCCCCATGCTCACAGTTCTAAATTCTTCTGCCAGGTACAAGGAGTGCCTTCATCGAAAACAACTTTTACCTACAATCTCAGAAGTTCATAATTGCTAAAATCAGTCTTTATCTTGTACATTCTGCATTAACACCRACAAGATCCCAAAAGATTCCCATCTGGCAAGTAACTCAAATCTTTGTTCCCCGGCTCTCTGCACTGCTTGGCTATATGAAGCAGAAAAACAAGTTTCTGAATCCTAGCAAAAATATTCCTATTTTTAGGATATTATAATTCCAGTCTTTTGTGTTAACACCAACTTTTATGGAAAATTCCACCTAAACCTCAAATCTGACCTTGGAAGGTCACCTGTTTGGAAGGTGTCCTCACCCAAGCTGGTAACAGACTCAACTGCATCGCCTGTAAGACTGACCAGCTTAACTCATTATTCCCAGTGCCTGGAAGGTGGATATTGCTTGAATTCCTCAGCTCTGCGTCCTGTCAGAGCAGCAGAGCAGTGTTCGTTGGCAGAGATGCAGCCTGAGTAACAAAATGTACAAAACACGCAGATGGAGGCCACGCCACAGCCCGAGATCAGTCTGTGACAGCCTGCAGTGAGAGTAACTATTGCATCAAAGATACACACAGCAGGGTGACGGGAACTCAGGAACTGCAACTCCTGTCTTAATCTTCCACATCCTGGTTCCCAGAAAACCCTGGTGATCCAGAGAGAGGCAAAGGAGYGATCAGAGAGAACCAAGGCAAACACAAAGGCAGTTTGGGACTCGGTTCACTGAAGCCAATACCAAAATTGCTGACTTCAACACCAGCATCAAACCTTGCCTGATGTGTCCCAGTGCCAGGGAGGCAGTGATGGATCTGCCACTGCCAGCACAGCAGCACCAGCAGTGTCCTGGCAGTGGCAGGGCAGGCTGTGTCTCGCTGGGCACCATCAAAACCTCAGTGACACCAAGGGCTTGGACTTGTCCCACCCAGGGACTGAGCCCAGCCCGCTGCACTGGGCACATGCACAGCCCTGAACAGGGCTAAGGGCACTCAGTTTGCATTTTGCAGTCCTGGAGTGCTCTGTGAAGTGTGCTGGTGAGACAGGAGTGTCTGTGGCACTGCTACCTTTCGAATCCACGCCTGGGGACCGCTGTTGGTGAGCTCGTCCGAGGACAGGATCTGTGCTCCAGTGCTACCCGTGAACTGCCCAGGGATGGAGTTGGACTGAGCCCAGGCGTCGATCTGCAACAGCAAAACCCAGTGTAAGAACAAAATTAACACTTCCACATTTTCCTTTGCAACTCTCTGCAGTCTCTCAACGATTTTCACCTCATTCTGTTGATATTCTGTGTGTTCACTGACACTCAGATRAAAGCAGGTTCTCCCAAAAGTGAGAAGGGTCACCCTGCAGCCTGAGTTCCAACTCCAGCAAGTTCATGGTTTACTCAGCCTCAAAACTGTTGAATCCACTGTTTTGGAAAAGAATTACCTATTTCTGTACTACTGAATTACAATAAAATTTAAAGAAAAATAAATTTGAAACTCTGGAGTGACTAGGGTGAAAACATGGAATACACAAAGSAGCTCATCAAAACTCATAAATGCAAGCAGAGAGTTAGGAATTGCAAAACCAAGGCGGAAGTTTGAAACATGGGCCCGTAACTGGATTKCCAAACTTAAACAAGTGAGAAAACTCAGCTGCCATGAAAGGGACACACTGATTTTCTTTAAGTTCCCCAAAATGCTGCTGGAAGCCCCCAGCTTACCTGTTCCTGTGCCCGATTCAACATGCACATGGCCTCCAAGTCAAAGGAGTTCTCATTGAGCCTTTTCTGGGCCACTGCCCTGTCATTCATGGCTGTGGTGATGTCCACACACTAGGAGGAAAAAGAGCAYTTGTAAAAATACAGCAGAGCACAGCAATGTCCAGTTGAGCTGGAAAAAGCTGCTGGACAATCAGTGCTACCAAGTAGGGATATACAGTGAATAGTTGGTTTGATACAGAAATAAACGTGATGAAAATCCTGGGACTACTTAAATCCATACAAGATCACCTTTCCTGAACAAAGACAAATCTGAATTTAAACTATAACATCCTGGTAATCTAAAATCACCTGTACACACAAAGTATCTGATGATTGATTATCTAAAAACTATTCATCACAAAAAAAAATGTGGTGTGTAATAGAAAAACATTTAATTGTTCAATGAGATCTTCTTAACCAACAGAATTAAAWGCAATTTAACCAAAAATTCAAGCAGAGCTGCTCATATGAGCTTCTCCTGATAAATCACACTAAAACTTGTCGGTGTAAAATAATTCCAGCATGAATCAGATGTATTCCACAATCTAGACTTGAGTGTTTCAAATTTTCATCTTCAGCCTGAATCAAAAGTAAAGAAGGGAGCAAGGAAGGGTCTGGAGCCCCAGGAGCGGCTGAGGGAGCTGGGAAAGGGGCTGAGCCTGGAGCAAAGGAGGCTCTGGGGGGACCTTGTGGCTCTGCACAACTCCCTGACAGGAGGGGGCAGCTGGGGGGGTCGGGCTCTGCTCCAGGGAACAGGGACAGGAGGAGAGGGAACGGCCTCAGGCTGGGCCAGGGGAGGCTCAGGGTGGACACCAGGAGGAATTTGCCCATGGAAAGGGTGCTCAGGCCTTGGCAGGRRCTGCCCAGGGAGCTTTGGAGTCCCCATCCCTGGAGGTGTCCCAGGAAGGGCTGGAGGTGGCACTGAGTGCTCTGGGCTGGGGACAAGRTGGGCATCRGGYACAGSTGGSACTCCATGGGCTGGGAGGGCTTTTCCACCCCTCAGGGATTCTGAGGCTGTGAGCTCACAAAATCCACTGTTTTGGAAAGAATTATCTACACCCGTGCTGCTGAACTACACTAAAATACAAAGAACAGATTTGAAACAAGTTGCAGAGTGATGTGGTGAAAACAGAACACAKGAGGGACCACACTGCAAACTTTCACTCTGGGCAAAGCCATGGGGAGAGGAATCCAGAACACTTGGGGCTGTAAAAATTTAACGAATTCTGGCTGGTGTGCAGCTCTTCTCTAAAATCCTTGCGCCCTGTTCCTCAAAGGATGTGTATGGATCACTCTGCTTGGAGAGCAGAAAGGGATGAGTGTGTAAAGACAAATGGAATTTCTTTCAGATATGACAGAAGCTGGAACTGTTTGAGGCACAGAAGAAACCAAATWATCAGAACAGGAGCTGGCACACACACATCAGAGTGATGGGTTAATTCGAATTTCATTTTCATTTGTTTCATGGAAACCCTCTCTCTTCTATTGTCAGTATCTCACCACCTCGGCCTCTCACACATTCTGTACTGAAGAAYTGGCAGGAGAAACTGAAACTCACTTAAAATTGCCTCAGCTGACAAAACAAACACTGTTAAACCACAAACCMCTGACCCAGGAAACTGGTCAATTTAGTAAATACTGAAAGGTAAAGACAGAGATGAGTATCTGCAATGCCATCAAACACCAAGAATTGCTTTTGTGCTGTACTAATTTGATTTTAAGATGTGGGGTTGATTGCTGGTGCTTAGGACAAAAGGTGTTTCTGTTGGAAGAACACTGCTGGAATATCTGGCACCAACCAAGACAGAGCTAAAATCCCCCAAGTCCCAGGTGTCTTTGGACCAACTTCAGCGCTTATTTCTTGTTACACAGAGCATAAAAAGGAGTAATTAAAATATTATCTAACAATCCCCTCACGCAACAGCATAGATGTAAAAATGCTTGTTTAAAATGCACACTGGCTGAGTTTTTTAATTTCTCACACACACTTAAAATAATTATTTAATTTTCTCTTTTGTAAACTGGTCCAGGAGATAAATAAAAGTTCTTCTACTCACCAAAAGTTTCAATCCAGCAATACACAAAGGCATGGAAGCAGTCCATGAAAGCACAGTGTGATTACTGCCATGCCGAACAGGTGTATTAGTGCTTTACCGGACTGGGGCCTAGCAACACTCCCTGCAGAGTTAATTCCCAAACAGCTCCCCAATGGCCAGGCACCACTTTGGAGACCAGCAGGGCTCTGTTTTATATCAAGACACTCGATGACAGCTTTGGATCTTGAAAAAAAATCTCTGCTTGAAGTATGAGAAGTTGTTGTTATTACCGAGTCAAGGCAAATAGTTGGAGTGAGGGGCTGTTCTCCCCCAGAGCTCTCCTGGCTGATCCCCCTTCTCAAGCCTGCCCCCACAAACCACAAACACTGAAGCCAGCAGGATGTGGTGTGGCTGACAATAAAAAGCAGGKTTTTTTTCACTCTGGAGGTCCATGAATGTATTCACTGCATCCTTAGGTCCCAACAGCTTCTCTTCTCTCACCTTGGATAATCCAGCTCTGCCACTCTACACTTCCAAACACTTCTTCCTCAGAGGTCTCTGCTGCTACAGACATGCTGAGCCTTCAGATAGCTCCAGACCTTCCCCTCCATCTCCTATCACCACACACAACTACTTCAAGGCATCAGGTTTTATTAAAACAAGCTGTAAGGTATTAGGACGGTTATTTCAGTCTAAGCCTGTAACTATTATGTGAATAAAACCACAGATATAAAACCAATTGTGTGGGGTTTAATGTCAACACTTGCATCAGAACTGTCACAGTATTTCAAAATTAGCAACAATGAATGGAGGTCAATTCCAGGTGAAACTTCCTAAAGCTCCAAGCAGCCCCAGCTCTCTACTCCCCCCAGCAATGGAGCTGATGCGCCCTCATGTTGCTCCAAGGGAGCCATTTCCACCACAAAGTCCTCCTGAAGGTTGAAAGAATGAAGCAGAGAAGCACTGTGTTACCTGTCAGACTCCCTGGAGAAACACATAGCAATTCTGCTACCTGCACTTCCCAAATAAGACTTGCCAAACCCCAGGAGATGGTACAGCCTGCCGTGAGCTAACACCCCTGAAATCACCCTTAACACAAACCAAGTTAAGGTAATGGCAAATAAAAATATTTATTTACAAAATATAAAAACAGACAGCATAATTACAGGCTTTTATAAAGATACACACAACAGGAAGGAAAGGAAGTTATATTAAATTAAATAAGATTACTCCAATGAAACTGCGAATGACATTCTGCACAAACATCTCAGTGTTTTAGTGGAGCAAGAGAGACCAAAGTGCAGCTTCCACCTGTGCTGAGGAACAAGGAATTGGGTGCCCAACCATCAAATTCTGAGGGATTCCATGAAAACGCTGGTTAAGTTATATTCTCTGTGCTTTTAGTGCTGTGAAAGACCCAGAAGAAAATTCCTTCTGCACCTCAGGGAGTGAACTGAACAATACCAGAAAGGTCTTGAGAAACAAAATGCACCATGTGCCGAGATGGCTTTGTCAGAAACTGATGAGAAGCCTTTGTGGTCCGGCTTTAGAAGGTGTGAGAACAAGGCTTTGGGTGCAGCAAGGTAACATTAACTTAAAAAAAACGAACACCTCTCCTAAATATTTAATTTACTTACTTACAAMCCCCCCCCTCAAAATGTTCTTTGGAAGAAATTTCAAGGGGAAAAACATTTGCTTTGGTTTTTTTAGTTTATTCTCCACACAATGAGATTCTCCTTTGGAAGGCTACGTGCAAAACAACCATGGGAGAAAAAGTGAGTGGAGAGCTAAAAAAATCAATACATCCACAGGAAGTGACAGTTTTAGCAACTACTGACTTTTTAAGATTGTTGGACAATTTTCATTAATGCTACATACATTACTGTGCAAGTCTCAAGGTATTATTAATTAACCTCTGCACAAAACTGAACAAGGCAATTTTTTCATCTTTCAGCTACAGTTTAAATTGAGACCAAGAAGTCACCAGTTGCCAGAATCAGGATGGATACAGGCTGCTGCCACCACTGCCCACATGAGCATCCCCAATTTGCAGAGCACAGCTCCTCAGCTCAGTGTAGTGTTAGGCACTACCTTTTTAAGTGCCTTTTTTTTTTTCTTTTTCCCAGACTCCAATTTAGTACCAGACTGCCCAGGTGATGGTTTTGGTTTTCTTATATTATATGCTTTCCTTGCCTTCCTTACCTCAATGGCTGGCTTGGGGAAAACATCATCCTTGCCATCGTCTTTGCCGTTTTTGTCCACGGGAACCCACTCTCCATACACACTGTCTGCCTCCTTCTTCCTATGCTGAGACCCAGAGGAAACAGGAAATTCCTTGGATAGGCTGACCTGGTTTTTTGGTTGGGGTGGTGGTGCTGGTTTTATGCTGGGAGTCTGAAAGAAATAAAATGAGAAATGATTAAGACTTGAAAACACACAAGAGTCAAGGTGGTTTTGTTGCCAACACCTGGGATTTGTTTTTTATGGAACATTCATCCTTCTTACTACAGAGCAATAAGCCTTTATAATTTATCATTTTGGCACAGCCTCAAAACCACACAAGTGACCCACAAATGGCACTATAAGAGAAGATGAAAAATCCCTTAAATCAACTCCAGCATCCCCAAATCAGCAAATCCCYCTTCTTCCAACTGACCCCATCATAACAAGAACCATCTCTATCTGCCACACAGGTATTTTGTACAGAAAGCTCCAAGGTAAAAATCCTGGGCAAGAAAAACATTGTCAGTGATCAAAAGCTCCATATSAGTGGAGAGAAAGTAGCTCTCAATATCTGGGTTTCTAGTTTTCTGCTRTTTTCAGCAGCAGCCTGAGTCTCCGAGCAGATAATATCGACGGCCTTGTTTTCCTTGGTGTTTTTAAGGTATAAAAACCTACAGAAAGCCCTGCCAGCTTCCCTCCCAAGAGGCAAACACAGCTGGCAGTAATGCATAATATTGGATAAATTCCCAGRAATATGGATAGCAATGGTTTTAAGGCTAGGACAGAGAAAGAGCAAAACTAAAAAGGTCAAAAACATGGGCAAGGGGCAGAGCAGCCCATCCCCACCATGGAACATTCCTCCTCAGAGCTTGGAAGAATTCCAAGGTTTCTTGAGTTTCATTGTAGCCTTTTCTAACAATACAACATAAAACTTAAATCAATTTCTACCTTACACTTTATGTAAATGTGTATTACTGCTTGTTTTGTGTATACTCCAAGGTATATGTATTTAGACTCAAAAATAGGAATGTTATTTCTATCTTTACTGAGCATGCTAAAGCTTTTTCAGTGCTTTATACCCTGCAAAATCAGAACAGACTTTCACGGGCACAAAACACCCCCAAAAATAAAACCCAAAAAACCCCATCCACCACCGCAAAATCAAACAAAACTTAAAAAAAATTCTAATCCAAGCTTCAAAGCATTTGATTYCCAGATGTATTGAAAAAAACACGATTTCACCAAGATTACCGATTAAATCTTGACGGAATTGGGAGTGTTTCTTTAAACTGATAAATACTCCCAATTTCACCAAGATTATCAACCCCTCATAAATGTCTGTAAAATTATTTGCATTATTTTAAAATAATTTAATTATAAGGATTTRAAGCATTAAAATATAAGTACCACTTACACTTAAATTGAAGAAAATAGGTTTGGGTTCACTCAGCTTAAAAGGATGGTTATAGAAAGGACGTTCTTCCTCCTCTTCATCAGAAACATGAGGCTTGTTCACTATCACATCATCAGTGCTCTGAGCAATCTTCTTGCATTTCTGAAAAATAAGAAAACAGAAAAATGTCAGCTCTGAGTAAACCTGAATTTTCAACTCAAGTACACAAAGACTATTTCTATCAAAAAAAGTGGTTTTCTTTGCTAAACCAGGAGGTAGAAAATCTTTTACTAACAGCWTCAACACATGTACTCTGGATATTCTACACATATTAGCCAATACCATCATGGCCATGGGAGAACTACCTATTTGTGCAAAATGTGAACAAAATCAAAACTGAAAGTAAGAAAAAGCAAAATAATTGGATTTCATCTGTTTTCATGGAATTAGAAGTATCAGTTTTGATAACTTCAAAAGAACTGTGCGGAGAATAAGGGTACAAAAGGGTGTTCAGGCCTTGGCAGGGGCTGCCCAGGGAGCTTTGGAGTCCCCATYCCTGGAGGTGTCCCAGGAAGGCTGGAGGTGACATTGAGTCCTCTGGGYTGGGGACAAGGTGGGCATCAGGCACAGCTRGSACTCCATGGGCTGGGAGGGCTTTTCCAACCTGGATAATTCTGGGATTCTGAACATGAGGCAGCTCCCAGGTGACACAAGCACACAGTGACAACCTCCCCCAGCGTGGTTATTGTCAGGTCTGATGCTGCTGCTCTCCCTCACCTCAGTGAGCTCCTTCAGGGTGTCTCTTGAGGACTTCTGGTTGGCTTTGTCATCCTTCTTCTGGGACAGCAGAGGCATCAGGCTCGGGGGTAAGGGCACGCCAGACTTCGCACACATGGCGGCTGCGTTGGCTTTGGCGATTTCAAGTAGCTGGGCTTTGTCTATAAAGATCCATTTTTTTYAAGGAAAGTTATTATTGTTACAGATTGTTTTAATAATAAAGAAGCATTTCTAACTGAACAACATCTAACCTGCACAGTGCATTTTTCATGGTCTGTGAAAATAGCTAAAATTGTACTGAGTTACTCCAGACTTTAAGYCTGGTCTGTGCAGAAGGCAAGTGAAACCACCAATGTAACCCAGACCACAGCAGTCCCACCTACAGCACCCAGCATTTTTACGTTCTGATGTCTCTTACTTCACTAATTCATTCCAGTTTTGGCAATATTGAGTCCTTCCTACACAGCATAAATTTCAAGAGTTCTCTCATTAACTATCTCTGAAAAGCACTCTGAAATCTGGAGGAAGCCTCCCAAAATGTAGCCCAAAAGCTACTTAACAACCACCAAACAGAGAAACAAGCTCTGACTAAAATGTGTCTTGCTTAAAATACAATTAGATGCAAAACTGTTAATAAAACAGTATTCTGCTTTAACAAGGGGAAAAAGGACAGCCCTAGGACAGAAATAGGAAATTAAAATAAATTAAGCCTTCTGCCAGTTTGCAAGTAACTTCCTAATTGGAAGGCTTCCGCGGTAACTCTGAGGCAGGACTGGAAGGTTCAGAATTCCAAGTCCACCACAGGAGGTTTCCTCACACGCTGTRCAAGAGCTCATCTCCCAGTTCAAACCTCCCTTCTCCTTGTCTAACTCACTACCAAGGACATAGCACAGCCTCTTTTCCTCCAAGCACAGAGAACAGATGCAGCTCACAAGGAGACTTTGTTTTGTTTTCCAATCTGCTGTTTCTTTTTAGAAACAAGTCTCTCTAAGTTCTTGCCATGGGAAAGAGGCAAGACAGAGTCCTGGGAACAGCTGACAACAGCTCTTGGGACTCTCCAACTGGCACCTAAATGTCTTTTATCCTCAGAAAAGTAGAAACTGTCTGACTTTCAAGTACTTGGCCTTTACTATTGCCACACAGAGTGTTCCTCAWGGCTGCAACACGCTACCTCTGTAGAAGTGCTCTATAGAACCAAGGTTAAAACTGGCTCTAAAGACACTTTCATTCAAATGTTCTGCTTTGATTCTGCTCCAACATAAAAGTTCCTACTGGAAGTTACTGCCTAAAACTAATGCACAGAGTGACTTACAAGAAACTCCTTATGAATGTTTCAGAGCTAAAATCAGACACTGCAAATCCACCCACTATCACCTAACATGGAACTACTAAAAATAAAGCACTCACTTACCCAGGTCTGTAAGACGTTTGGGTGATCTGCTGGAGAATTCTGAGGACCTGGACCTGCGCCGGTCGGGGGATCTGCTGTAACGCCTTCTCCCCGAGGACCGCGAGCGCCGCAATCGGATCGGGGACCTGCTGGAGCTCCGCCTCCTTCCCCTTGACCGTGACCGCCTCTGGCGCAGAGGGGTCCGACTCCTGCTCCGCAATCGGAGCGATATCCTGCGGTCTCTCGAATCAGATCGTCTCCTTCTCCTRTCAGTAGACCGTGATCTGTTTCTCTGAGATCTCTTGCGCCTGTCTCTTGACAAGGAACGCCGCCTTCGTGACGCCGACCTTGACCTGCTCCTCCTCCTGTGCCTGGAACGTGACAGCGAGCTGGACCGAGATCTGGATGCTCTTCTCCGTGTTGCTGACCTGGAGCGATTCCGTCTGGAGCGCGAGTCTGTATCATATCTCTTGGTTCTGCGCTGGGAGGACCTGGAGCGTCGGCTTCTCGACCTGCGTGATGAATCTTTGTCTGCTGTTTTCTCCACAGACTTGGACTGACTCCTCTGGCGAGCGGCAGACCTGGAGCGCCTCCGCCTGGACCTCCGCGAGGGCTCCTTGTCTGCTGTTTTTTCAACAGATGTGGACTGGCTCCTCTGGCGGCCCGGGGACCTGGAGCGTCTCCGTCTGTACCTCCGCACGGTCTCTTTCTCTGCTGGTTTTTCTACGGATGTGGATCGACTCTTCTGGCGAGTAGGAGACTTTGAGAGTCTGCTYACAGATCTCTGTGGAGACTCTTTGTCAGATGCTTTGTCGACAGATTTGGATCTAGATTTTTCACGTTCAGAAGACTCAGAACGTCTGCTTTCAGGGACCAAGGAAGAGTCCTGTTCCTCTGTCTGCTCAAGAGGCACTGAATCCTGCTTATCTTCATCCGCCAAAGAGGGCTCYGCATCCTCTCCTTCCTCTTCACCACTGGAAGACTCTGACTCATGCTCCTCTGACGATGTGGACTCTCTTTGTTCAGCTGTCAAGGAAGGCTCTGCATCTTCTCCTTCTTCTTCACCAGTGGTAGACCTCGATTCAGCCTCATCAGGGGATGCAGAACGTCTGTGTTCAGCTGTCAGGGGTTCCACATCCTCTGCTTCTTCACCAGCGGTAGATCTTGACTCTTGCTCATCTGATGAGGTGGAATCTCTTTGTTCGGCTGCCGAGGAGGGTTCCACATCCTCCGCATCTTCCCCAGCAGTAGACCTTGACTCGTGCTCATCTGAAGATGTGGAGTGTCTGCGCTCAGCTGTTGAAGAGAGCTCCTGGTCCTCCGCTTCCTCGCCAACGGTTGACCTTGACTCATGACCATCAGGAGAMACAGAGCGCTGCTCAGCTGTCAAATCCTCTGCTTCTTCATCAGCTGTAGACCTTGACTCGCGGTCATCAGATGATGTGGAGTGCCTGCGTTCAGCTGTCAAAGAGGGCTCCTCATCTTCTACGTCTTCCCCAGCAGCAGACCTCGACTCACGGTCGTCAGAAGATACCGAGTCTCTCCTTTCAGCTGCCAAGGAGGCTTCTGCATCCTCTGCCTCTTCTCCAGTGGTTGACCTTGACTCACGCTCATCAGAGGACTCAGAGCACCTACGTTCTGTTGTCAGAGGCTGCTCCAGATCCTCTGCTTCTTCACCAGTGCTAGATCTTGACTCATGCTCATCAGGGGAAGTGGAATGCCTCTCTAGATCATCCATTTCTTCATCTACAGTAGATCTCTGGTCATGGCCCTCAGGGGACACAGACCGTCTATGTTCAGAAGTCACAGAGGACTCCAGACCCTCTTCCTCCATGGGAGACTTCAGCTCATGACCTTCCTGATAGGAGGATGTGGAGTATCTGCGCTCAGATCTCAAAGAGGGCTCCAGATCCCCCGTTTCTTCACCAGGGCCCGATCTCACACTGTAGCTGTCAGGAGACACCGAGCACCCACCTTCAGGCATTAAAGAAGGCATTGCATGATCTATTTTTTCAACAGGGATGGATTTCAAGTCACTGTCATCAGGGGACATGGAGGCTCTATCATTCAGTGTCTCAGGTTCAAGACCATCTACTTTTCCATCGGTGGTGAATCTCAACTCCTGCCCATCATGGGATGCTCCATGTTCATTTTCAGGTGTTGGAGAATGCTCTGGTACATCTGCTTTCTGAAGAGAGGTGAAACTCACCTCCTGGCTCTCGAAGAAGAGATGGTCCCGTTCAGCTGTCAAAGCAGAATCCACACCCTCTGTTTTCTCTGCACGTGCCAATCTCAACTCGTACTCTTCGGGTGACAGAGAAGGTTCCTGGGACAGTACTCTTCCAGCAGGGCTGGACTGYGGTTCCTGAGCTTCAGGAGTCATGGGACATTCACCTTCCGACAAGGACAACTCCTGCACCTCTGTTTTTCCAGGAACRGCAGACTGCAACTCCTGGCTATCGGTGGATATTGAACTTTCACTTTCAGAGGCTTCAGAAGGCTCCTCCAATTCTTTTTCAACAGGACTCGATCTCAGATGACGCCTTTCGGGTGACACCTCGTACTCATTTTCAGACAGCAAAGTACTCTCCTGCACCTCTGTTTTTTCAATGTAATCCTGCCCCTTGGGAGATGCAGTGTATTGACTGTCTGGGACCAGCACTGGCTCCTGAACTGCTGTGCTTTCAGCRAGGCCAGACTGCAGTACACGACCCTGACGGAAGATGGAATATTCACTGCCAGGTGTCAGAGAAAGCTCCTGCGCCTCCTTCTCAGCAGGGCTGGCTGTCACTTCCTGGMCCCCAGGTGATACACCATATTCATTTTCAGGCAGCAGAGAACACTCCCGCACCTCTGGTTGTCCAGCCACCAATGGCTGCAATCTGTGATCTTTAGGAGACACAGCACTGTCAGGAACCACAGCCTCCTGCATCTCTGCCTTCTCAGGAGACCTCAACTCCTGGCCCACCCAGGACACAGCACATTCATTTTCAGACACCAGAGCAGGCTGTTGCACCTGGGTGTTTTCAGCAGAGAGTGATCGCAGGTCCTGGCTCTCGATGGACTCCAGACCTCTTTCTTCAGACATCTGATAAAGCTTCTGCAACTCTGCTTTTTTAGCAGGGGTTGATGTCAACTCCGGGCCATCAAGTCTGATTGTGTACTCATTTTCTGACACTTGTGAAGGCTCCTCAGCTCTTTTAAAATGGGTGGATGCCAATTCATGACCATCAGAGGCAACAGAACACCTGCTYTCCAGTATCCCAGAGGGCTCGTGCACCTGTATTTCTTCACTGTAGGCAGATCTCAGTTTGTAGCCATCAGGGGAAGCACGGTGTTTCAGTTCTGATGAATTCAGCATCTCTACTTTTTCAGCAGGGATGGGTCTCATTTCATGACTGTCGGGCAACAGCACAAYCCCATCTTCTGAGGTCAGAGCAGTCCCTGAGGGCTGCGGTTTTTCAGGTGCACCCACTGATTCACAACCATCAGCAGACACGGAGAACCCACTTTCCAGTGAGAGGGGAGCCTTCTGGATCTCCACTGTTTCAACTGCAGCAGGTGTCAATTTATAGCCTTCAGGAAAGATGGAACACTGGAGCTCAGCGGCCATTGACAGTTCTGCACTCTCTGTTTGCTCAAAGGAATTGTATTTTGCTTTGTGGCCATCGTGGCATATGGGAATCCCACTTTTAGACATCACCAATGATCCTGCACCGTCTATTTTACCAGTCAGGTACCTCGACTCATGAATTTCTGAAGATCTGGAACAGTCAATCTCAACGACCTGTGGAAGTGTTGGACCGTCTAAACCTTTTTCAACAGATGATCTGGACTCATGAACTTCAAAAGAAGACACTGAAACAAGGTCTGCAGACACCTCAACAGAACCACACACTGATGTGAGGGAAACATCTGGAGCCTTGACTTTTTCAACAGACAAAAATCTTTGTTCATTTCCATGCGGTGACTTAAAGGACTCGCCTCCAGACAATGGAAGCTCCTCTATTGGTGTAGCACAGCTGGATCCTGATCCATGTCCATCAGGAGACATGAAGTCAGAAGCTAAAGGCTCCTGCATCTGGCCTGACTCACAGCCATCAGGAATGACGGGGCGGATCATTTCAGGCGGCAGGAAAGGCCTCTGAGTTTCCACAGCTCCAGGGCTGTCAGCCAGCTGAGAAGACCGATGCTCAGGTACCTGCAGAACCTGGGGAAGCTGTGTGTGTTCACCAGGAGTATCTCGTGATTCATGACCACCAGACAAGTTAGAGAGCCCACCTTCAGACACCAGAGAAGATGACTGCATGTCTCTTTTAAGTGATGGAGGAAGCTCGGGACCTTCTACTTCTCTGAGAGGCACAGTTCTGGACTCATCTTCACGGGATCCAGAGCGATGGAACTCTGCTACTGAAGAAGTTTGTAGATCTCCCCTTTTTTCAACAGATGAGGATCTTGACTTGGATGTGGAGTATGGAAGTTCATGTAGCAGTGAAGACTCCAGAGCTGCTGTTTTTTCAGTTGAYCCATTTTCAGATGTCATAGACAGCTCTGAATCCTGCATTTTTTCCACAGATGTGGATCTCATTTCCTGGTCATCTGCAGTTTTGGAGGTATTAAATTCAGATGTGGCAGAATGCTGCAGATCTGCTGTTTTATCAGCAGATGAGCTTTTCTCAAGACTCCCTGAAGTTTTGGAACTTCCAAATGATGGTGGCAGCACTGGGCCGTTTACTCCTTCATCAGACAAAGCTACTGATGTGGGACCATTAGAGGATTTACCTTCACTTCCAACAGAAGATTCAGGAACAACTTCATCAAGACCTTTGGCTGACTCCTGAAGTTCAGAAGACTCCACATGCTTGTTGCTGGACTTTGCTGACGATAACTTATCTTTTTTGTCTACAGATTTGGACCTTGACTTAACACTGTCAGAGGACTTGGAACGTTTCCTTTTGGATTTTTTTGAAGACTCCTTGCGCTTTTTTTCGACAGATTTAGACCTAGACTTGTAACGTTCAGAAGATTTTGAGCGGCGACGCTTTGATTTTCGTGAGGATTCCTTCTTTTTTTCCACTGATTTGGACCTAGACTTGTCAGAGGACTTGGAGCGCTGACGTTTAGACTTGCGCGATGATTGCTTTCGATCTCTTTTCTCTACTGACCGGGACAGAGACTTGCAACGATCTGAGGACTTTGAGCGCTGACGTTTGGACCTCCGTACAGATGCCTTGCGACCTCTTTTCTCAACAGATCTTGACCTGGATTTTGAACGATCAGAGGAACCAGACCGATTTCTGAACCTCCAGGAGTATTCTTTGCCACCTCCCTTTTCTGAAGATCTGGATCTAGATCTTGAACGATCAGAAGACCTGGAATGTCGGCGGCGAGATCGCCAGGAGGACAACCTCTTTTCCACTGACCGTGACTTAGACCTGTAGCGGTCAGAAGACCTGGAACGTCTGCGCCCAGACCTTCGGGAGGACAGTCGCTTCTCCAGTGACCTGGACTTGGATCTGTAGCGGTCAGACGATCTGGAACGTCTGCGCCCGGATCTTCGGGATGACAATCGCTTCTCCAGTGACCTGGATTTAGACCTGTAGCGGTCAGAAGACCTGGAACGTCTGCGTCCAGACCTTCGGGAGGACAATCGCTTCTCCACTGACCGTGACTTAGACCTGTAGCGGTCAGAAGACCTGGAACGTCTGCGCCCGGACCTTCGGGAGGACARTCGCTTCTCCAGTGACCTGGACTTGGATCTGTAGCGGTCAGACGACCTGGAACGTCTGCGTCCAGACCTTCGGGAGGACAATCGCTTCTCCACTGACCTGGATTTAGACCTGTAGTGGTCAGATGACCTGGAGCGTCTCCGTCTGGACCTCCCAGAAGACAATCTCTTTTCTGCTGATCTGGATTTAGACCTGTAATGGTCAGATGACCTGGAACGTCTGCGCCTGGACCGCCGGGAAGACACTCTTCTCTCTCTCTTCTCCACAGACCGGGACCTAGATTTGGAATGCTTTTTTCTGGAAACAGAATAGTTTCTGCTCCTAGAACGTGCTCTTTTAGAGGTCAAACGCCTGGAAGTAGAACGCGACCTTGATTTTTTCTTCCGCTTCCTAGACCTGGACTGAGACTTGGAACGGCTCCTTTTCTGTTTCTTTGAATCATGTTTTTTCTCACTGGTTCTATGGCTGCTTTTTTCAATAACATTCTCAAGCCTCATGAGAGTCTCCTTCATCCGTGCTGCCACATCAGGTTGCACATCAGAGGTTTCTGAATCTCTTTTCTCTGAGTCCTCTTCTGGAGTTGCTTCTTTGACATCCTCAGCCTCTGGAGTGTCTTCCAACTGGCCTTCCTCTATAGCTTCTGGACCTGCTTCTGCATCAGTCTCAGGTGCCACAGCTGCTTCCAAATCTTTTATCTCTGCCTCCAACTGTACAGCTGCTTCTGCATCTTTCAGCTCTGCATCAGTCTGAGAAGCTGTTTCCAAACCTTCTTTTTCTGCCACAGGAGTCCCTGCTGAATCTTTTCCTTCTGCTGCATGTGAAGAACTAAAAGCTGTTTCTGCTACTAAAGGCTCAGATGTTTGAGTCTGCTCCACATCCTCCTTCTCAATCAGCATATCCTCCACCTGTTGACTCTGCTCTCCTTCTACATATTGTACCTCATCTGACATTTTATGCTCCTGTGTTGTTTCCAGGCCTTTCATATCCTCTGGTTTTGGAACTGCTTCAGAGGCAACCAAGATTTCTGGAGCCTCTTCTGAACTCTTCCATTCTGCAGTAGATTTTGCCTCGAGAACTSCTCGAAGCTCTTCTTGCTTTTCAGACTGCAAGTATTCTGGAACAGCTGCTGAAGCATCATCCATGGCATGCTCTTTACCTGTTCCAGAAYCTTTCACCTCTACTGTTGAAGACTCCTGGATGCTCTCCAACCAACTTATTCCTCCAGCATCTGATGCTGGCTCCACATATTTTGCTTTCTCCATTTCTGAGGGCTCATTTCTTTGTGTGCTGGTCCTCTTTGCTGCAATTCCATGTTCTATGGCAGATCCCTGAGTTTGCATATCTATCAGTTCTGTTGGTATCCCCAAAGCCATATTGTTTTCTTCCACTCTGGGCAAAGACTCCAATACTGCTGCTGAATGACCTACTTGTTCCTGAACAGATTTTGAACTGGCTTCTGAAGTTTGCACAGGTTCTAGGATTGTGTCTCTGCTCCTCATTTCTAGTTCTGGAGTGAGTTCCRAATCTTTTCTCTCCCTCAGAACCTCAGTTTGTGAGGTTCTCGTTTGTGTCATGACCTGTGACTGTGAAATGATGGAACTCTCTGTTTGGTTTGCATGGAGAGGCTCCCTCTCTGCTGTGGTTTGCCATGACATCACTCCTGCTGATGCCTTGGCCTCTCTAATTGGTTCCACGCTTTCGTGCACAACCACAGGTTCAGGAGTCCTTTCTAAGGCATGAAGTCCTGGACTTGCAGCATCCCCACAATGCACAGCTTCTTCTGAAGCTTTCACATCTTGCACTTGTAAGGACATTGAAGCTGTTGTAAATGTTTTTGCTTCCACCACAGCCACTGGTCTCAGGACTCCTCCTGGACCTTGTGTGTTTTCCATCTGCAAAGACAGGGCAGGGGCCAAATCTCTCACATTTGATTCACCCTCAGGTCTCGATTCTCTCAGCAATGAAGTACCTTCTGAATCTTTTGCTTGTGGACTTCTAAAACCCTCTGCCATCTGGACTTCTGGAACTGTTCGGGGAATGAAGGTCTGTACAACTGCTGCGGGTTCTGAAGTTGCTCTTAAACCTTTTGCCTCTGCAACCACATTCACACCAGTCAATCCTGCTGGAAGTGCAGATCCCTGGCTTCTGCTCACACTAGTTTCTGTCAAGACTCTGTGTTGCAGGAACATTCCTGATGCACCCAGAGCTGTTGCAGGGCCTGTGATAMCTTCCACATTTTTGCCTTGAAGACTTTCATGAGCAGCTCTGACATCTTTTGCTGCAACACCCACAGGTTCCGCGGTGGTTTCCAAAGCTTTCACATTTCCCATACCTGGTTCGATATCCATCATTTTTGCAAYAGCTCCTGGTCCCGGGGGTGTTTTGGCACTTTTTATTTCCACGTGGGTCACRGGGGTGGCTGCAGACATTGTCAAAGGATGTTGCAAAGGTACAGCAGCTTTCAGGACACTGGAACCCTCCATGGGGCTGCCCTGARCCGTGTTCATATTCCCAGATATAACTGAGGGTGGCAGGGTAGTCTCCAAAGTTCTGCTCACACCCCCCAGCTCCAAAGATCTCTCGACACTTCTCACATTTCCCATATGCAGAGATTTTTCAGTTGTTTCTGGAATTTTCACTTCTTGCCCAGCCACAGTGGTGTGAGCTACAGTCACAGCACTTGGATGTGCCCAATTTGCAGATGATGGAATTGCTGTCACACCACTTGCCAAAGACACGGATGCTGATGCCGTTTCGAACGCCTGTGCTGCCCTCTGAGACACTGATTGCACAGATGCTTCTGAATAAGTCATCACCTCCATGGTCTCAGGCTCGAGAGCTGCATGCGAAGTTTTTACTTCCCCAATGCTTGGAGATTTCAGAGTAACATCTGAATCTCTTAATGCTTCTACTGAATCTTTCTGAATCTCTGATTTACTCACAATTCCAGATGGGATGCTGGACCAAGTATAATTTCCAGTATCAACAACACTGGCATTAATAGCTACAGGATAAATATTTTCATGGGACTGAGTTTGTTCTTCGCTAGTGCAAATTCTAGTTTGAGCTATACTAGTATTTTCTGGGATATTAGACTGGATACTTTCTAAATTAAATGGGGAATTTGTTGCACATAAAGTTCCCTCCACACTTCCAAGACTTTCTGCAGGTTGCTGAGAATCAGTCATTGAATGAGAAACAAGTCCTAAAGCTTGGTTATCAAGCCCCTCAGTTGGTTTTGAGCACAGTTCCGGCTGCACGTGGCCAGCCAAGTTTGCATCTGCAAACACTCCATGCTGTACATTCAATTGGGAGCTGGACTGCTCCGGCATCAAGTGAGGAGCTGGCTGCACATCTGCAGGTTCTCCAGGATGTGCACTCAACTTGGATTCCTTTGGTTGCTTTTTATGCTTTTTCTCTTTCTTCCTTTTCTTCTTCTTTTTCTTCTTCTTCTTGCTTTTGTGCTTCTTGTTTTTCTTTGCTTTTTTTCTAGGAATTTCATCTTCACCAGTAGAGCTCCTCTTTGTAGATGGAGTACTATTTTTCACAGCATTTTTGTCTACATCTAGAAAAAATGACATTTACCTTGTAAACATTTTTAAGACTGCATTTTAAATAATCCTTCCAGAGTAGTTGTGAAGTACATGGAGAGAAGTACAAAACTATTAAATTTGCAAACTATGCCTGATTCACTGAGCTACCGCACACAGCACACACTACCAGCTCTCTTTTCTTCCTCTCAGGAGYCACTTTAAGTGATAAAACAACACTTCTTTAAAAAATTAACCCAAATCTACTTGGTCAGCAACACAGGTTCAAAGGGAACACAGCTCTTTCCAAGCAGTATTATAGTGATGGAATGGTTTGGGTCGGGAGGGACATTAAGGATCATCCAGTGCCACCCCTGCCATGGCAGKGACACCTCCCACTGTCCCAGGCTGCTCCCAGCCCYAATGTCCAGCCTGGCCTTGGGCACTCAAAGGAATCAGGGGCAGCCACAGCTTCTCAGGGCACCCTGTGCCAKGGCCTGCCCACCCTCCCACGGAATAATCTCCTAATATCTGATCTAACCCTGCCCTCTGGCAGTGAGAAGCCATTCCCTTGAAGAAGAAAAGAAAGGACGATTTTGGAAATTACCACCCTATCAACCTCCTCTCTGTGCTGGGAAGATGATGGAACAACCCTCCTAGAAGCTCTGCTAAGGCACATGGAGGAYAGGGAACTGATTTRTGACAACCAGCATGGCTTCAYGCAGGGAAAATCCAGTCTGACCAATGTAGTGACATTCTGTGGTGGAGTGACTACATCAGTGGGTAAGGGAAGAGCTACAGATGGCATTTATCTGGACTTCTGTAATGTATTTGACACAGTGTCCCAAGAACATCCTTCTCTCCAGACTGAAGAATTTGGCAGGTGCACTGTTAAGTGCATTAGCAGCTGTTTGGATGATCTGGAGCATAGTGATCAAAAACTCAGTGTCCTGATGCACATCAATGACCACTGGCATCCCTCAGGGGTCCCTACTGGGACCAGTGTCACTTAACTTCATTAATGAAACAGTGTTACTTAATATCTTCATTAATGACCAAAGGATCAAGAGCACCCTCAGCAGCTTTGCAGGTGACACCAAGCTGAGGGTGCMRGTTAAACTTCTGAGGGATGGGGCCCTCTGGAGGGACCTGGACAAGCTCAAGAAGTGCACCATGGGAAMCTCATGAGGTTTAACAAAGCCAAGTGCTGCACTTGAGCCAGGGTAGTTCATGGGATCAATCCAGGCTGGGGATGAGCAGAAGGAGCAGCCCTGGAAGAGCTGGTCTTGCCCCAGCCCAGAATCCCCTGGGCCTGGGACTGAGCCCAGCATGGGCAGCAGGGAAGGGATTGGGATTGTGCCCCTGTGCCCCATTGCTCAGGTGAGACCCCACCTGCAGAGCTGCTCCAGCCCTGGGGCCCAGCACAGGAAGGACGTGGAGCTGCTGGAGAGAGCCCAGAGGAGGTAGCAGGATGGTCAGAGGGATCATCTCTGAGCAGCTCTACTGGGAGGAAAGGCTGGAAAGACTTCAGGTGACCTAACTGTGGCTTTCTACTACCAGGAAGTACAGTAAAAATGGCGGAAGACTGTTTACAAGAGCTTGGAGTGACACAACAAGGGTAAGTGGGTTCAAAATAAGGGAGAGTACGTTTAGATCAGATATCRGGAAAAATTTCTGTGAGGGTGGGGAGGCCCTGGCACAGGCTGGCCAGGAAAGCTGTCCCAGCCTTGCAAGTGTTGAGGGCCAGGCTTGACAGGGCTTGGAGCAATCTGGGATAACAGAAGGTGTATCTGCCTATGTCAGGGAGGTTGGAACAAGAAGATGATCTACAAGGTCCCCTTCCAACCCAAACCATTCTATGGYACTCCTTTTTTGTCGTGTCCCCCCARYCCTTGGAAATTGTCTCTCTCCATGGTTCCTGTGGGCTCCYTCAGGCCCTGCAAGGCCACAATRAGCTCAGCCCAAAGCTGAACAATCCCRGCTCTCCYAGCCTTTCCTCCCAGCACAGCTGCTCCATCCCTCTGACCATCCTGCTGCCTCCTCTYGGCTCTCTCCAGCAGCTCCATGTCCTTCCTGTGCTGGGCCCCAGGGCTGGAGCAGCTCTGCAGGTGGGGTCTCACCTTGAGCATGGCAGAGGGGTTGGATGTCCTTCCATGGCCACTCCGGGGGGGCAGTGCATTCTAATAGGAGGGTGGAGATGYGCTTTCAAACCCCCAAAAGCTGCATGTGGAAGCTAAACAAGAATTCCCATTTTCCAAACAAATTATCTAAGTGGGGATTCATGCTACAACACCTAACCAGCCACTCCCCCCTGCTGTGATGTAACCTTCAAGCCAGCCCAGTGCTGCTGCTGCATTAGAAATTCTCTCTGYATTTTCTGACCAAGTTACTTCCTGAGGTCCAAATTTGGGCAAACAGCATCTATGYCCCAAATCCCAAGCCCACTTTAAGGCACTGCAGGCTGGAACAGCTGCTGGGACAGGAGTGTAGCTGCCATGAGGCACAGCAAAGCTGCACGCTCCCGTTACAGCATTTGCTTCCAACAGAAAAGGAACAAATTCAGGTGACTGTGGGGAAAAGCAAGTCACTGATGGGRAAGGGAAAGAGGGAGATTGAGTTTTCCATCACAACCTTTTAATTCTGTACCTCACTACCCTCTGGACTTAACTTTTGTTAGGTTCTTGCCCTTCTGGAGACCTAGTGCCAACRTTTTCAGGAGAAAGGCACTTCTTTAAAGGCAACTTGCTTGGATTTCTGTGAAATATGAGCTGTACATTGGAATCTGCTTGCATGTTTCTTTCATTGATCTACTTATACAGGCCAGGGCAGCAATACAGACCCTCCAATTAGAATCTGTGATCCCAAAGCTCTCTATGTTCCAGTGAACACTGCAAAATCTTGCAGACTCTGTTGGTAATAGCAATACTATTAAATTAATGTGACTTAGGATTCCATAACAASTATCTAGGAATAAGTAACTTAAAAATAGGTTTTGGACCAACATTGCTGTGAATGCATTAAGAAGAGGGAAACTGAGTCAAATTTATGGACAAAATGTGCAGCCCACAGCTGGAAAACTGTGTTACTCAGTGGGTGAGCAACTGGCCCACAGGCTGAGCACAAAGGGTGACAGTGACTGGGGTGACATTGGGCTGACACCAGTCACTAGTGGGGTTTTGCAGGGCTCCATTCTTGGCCAAGCTCATTTCAAYTTCTTAACAACCTGGACACAGGACTCAAAGGGCTAATTAGTCTGCTGAGGACACTAAACTGGGAGGAGCTGTCGACTCCCTCGAGGGCAGAGAGGCCTTGCAGAGAGACCTGGACAAATCAGAGAACTGGGCAATTGCCAACTACAGAGTTTAACAAGAAAATGTCAGATTCCACACCTGGGATGGGTAACTCTGGCTGTGCAGATGGAGAGCAGCTGTGGGAAGGGCCCCAGGGTCCTGGTCCATTGCCAGGTGGGCCTAAGTCAGCAGTGCCCTGGAAGCCAGGAGGGAGAGCCTGTCCTGGGGGCGGCAGGGGGGCACCAGGCCCAGCGTCTTCCCGGGGCAGCCTCACCTCCAGTCCCAGGGGCAAGTCTGGGTACCACAGATTGAGAAAGAGCTGAAACTCTTAAAGAGTCCAAGGGAGGGACATGAAAACGGTAAACTGTCTGCAGCAGTAACATGAGGTCACTTGATCAGTTC